AGCTGGGCAAGCAGCACTCCACTGCACGGGACGACAGACATCAGGACAGACAGATGAGGAGTCGTGGAAACAGAGGTGATGCCTGCTGGACCGCTGGCTCGGGGGTACCCACGGTCCAGCCTTGAGACTGTAGGCATCAGCCGGGGACAAGCAACTATTCAGAATGGTGACCTTAAAGGAGGCGACCTTACCTTCAGTAAGATCCTGAAGCATCAAAGGAAAGGAAAGGAAAGAAAAAAGAAAAGGAAAAGAAAGGAAAATACTCATAGTTGTATTCGCAGAGGGAGAAAGGCAGGCCAGTGGGTAATGTTTTTTCTCACAGTGACACACAGGGTGGATGGAGTATGTCTGGCTCACCTTAGATAGGGTCTCAGGTTCTCCCCTCCCCTGGAGGAACCCTTGTTAAAGGTGCACCGTGTCCCAGCATTGGCAGCGCACCGCTGACAGAACCCCGGGGACCGTCGTCACTCCCGCCCATGGGTCCCAGGAAGCCTTACCTCAGAGCTGGGCTTCAGAGCTCCCATGTCCCCAGGAGCCCAGGTGGGAAATCCTGTCTGCGACCCAAGGATTCCAAACGAGCCTGCGACAGGCAGCGAGCTTCTTAAACGGCACACGGTCCCAGGAGTGGGGACAGTAACCTGCACAGGAAGGAGTTTGTTCAGTGGAAATAAGCAAGTCAGTCCCTTCTGAGGTACCCTGGAGTTAAGGGGCCCCGGCCAAAAGGAGGCCTAAGGCATGTCCCCAGTGATCGGGAAGGGGGCAGCCAGACACCCATGCTGGGGTCACCCCCCCTTCCGCCACTGAGCAGGTAGGTTTGACTCAGGGTCTAGGGAGTTATTTTCTCTCACAGGAGTGGCAGGCGGTGTGCGTGAAGTGTCATTAAAAATGTCCTAGGCTTGTTGTGACAATCACCTGTCAGCATTTACAGAGCCTTTCGCATCACCAGGCTCAATCTCTCCTTGAATCCCCAAGACAACCTGGTTAGTGGGTTCTGTACCATTAGCCCTCACTTCTGTGCAGACAGGGGCACAGAGAAACCTAGCAGTTTCCTCCAAGTCCTCATGAACATGGGACTGAAACGTAGCTCCTTCTCGGCACAGTTTGGGACTCCAGCGGTCACCACTGTCTGGCCTGGCCATCAGGCAAGTCCTCCTTCTTGTCATAGGGGTGAGTTGGTGGTTGAAATCCCCAAACCCTGGTGATGCACGAAAGGCATGTAAATTAGCCATCCCTGACCTTCCCAAATAGCAAATGAATTTTCACAAGCTTTTATATAAAACTGGCCTTTATTGCAATTAAAAAAGAACAAAGACAATTTGATAAGTGCCTTTAATTACATACAATGTACCTGCTATTTACATGTAATTATACTTTTACACATAGCTTGAGTAAGGTTCATTACATGTAAACTATTAGAAATTAAACTCCAGCCTTTTGGGAACATTCAGAATAGAAATACTACGGGCAGAAACACAGAAAACAAATAACCACTTCAGGTCCTTAGGTACCATTGTTGGATAAATGGTCAAGATCTGGCCACAGAAGACAGTTGTAAATATGCATAAATTGAAACCTATTGTTACTATGACTAACATATTGCTATTGTTGAAACCCTAAAGAAAATAACTGGATTAAAAACAGTACAACTTTAATTTATATAGCACCTTTCTTCCAGAGTTCAAAGCGTTGGTATTTATATTATCTCATTTGTCCCCATAACATCCCTATGAGGTAGGCAATGGTTGGTATCATTATCTCCATTTTGGATCTGGAGACACTGAGGCACAGAGAAGTTAAACCATTTGTTCAAGGTCACACAGTAAAGTCAGTGCTGGAATATGGACCACAGAGCCGGGAGCTCGTCTCCAGAACCAATGCTTCTCTTTCAACTAAATTGTCCCCTCTGAGAATTTCATTCAACACCGCCATTCACCTTTCCAAGAAATAAAAAAATGTACATTTTTTTTCCTCCCATAAAAATTGTTGAACTACTACTATAGGCAAGAAACATACACGCCGGGGTTAGATGTTGAACTGATGCTATACTTTTCTAGAAACAGCTTATGGAAGTCTTTTGTTGGTTTTGTTTTTCCACTATGAGGAGTTGCCCAGTTAAAACAAAGCCAGAACTCTTTAAATGAAACATATTTGAAAGGGGGCATCCACGTAGTGACCTACAGGTTATAACTTTAGTGGCCACATTATGCTATCAGGTTTATTCCTGAGCTTACAAAGCAGAAAACATCTAAACAATAATTTAAATCTTTGAGAGGTTATTAAATCTTATTTTTCATTTGTACTCACTCACAGCTTGCTCCTTTAGAGAGAGTGGTGGACAGGGAGCTGGGATAATATATTTTCCAGAGACACACACAAACTGACCCCAGGGGCAGGAAGTCTTGCCCATGTCACTTCGTTCACATTTTACTTCTGATCCATGCCCTGCCTTCTCCCCCAGAATCAAGTACGTAGTTGCTACTCAGAAAAAAAAAAAAATTGAAAAACAGTGTCAAAACCTGAGGCATACAGGTCTCTCTCAAATGCTGTTGATGTGACCATAAAAACTCAGCCTTCCTGCCGTGTTTCAGATGCTTCTCCCCAAGCGACAAGCAGTGCCGGCTGTTCTGCCACTTTTCAGGACATCAGTGGGCAGTCAGCGCGTAGCCCACCACAGTTACATTTCTAGGATGGCTCCAGGAAGTACAAGAGAAGCCTCTATGCAAAAAAATTAATTTAAAAACCAATAAGCTGATGGGATGGGTCACGAACATCCTGTCAGGCTCACTGACGAATTCTACATTAAAAATACATAAAAACTTGTCAAAGGAATGTTCCAAGTCCTTTAGAAACAGACTCAGGCTTTTGCGGGAAGTCACGGCTGCCACTTAGGAAGACTGTACTACCTCAATGGTGAGCTCGAGTTAAGAAAAAAGGCTGTATAAGCTTAAGAAGGAAAAGGAAAGCGTTTGTTTCAAGGTTATGGTTTCTAACTGGCTGAGTTCAGAAGCGAAACAAAACCAGACATGACGACAAGCCAATTCTGAACTGCAGGCTCCAGGGCTCAAGGCTGGTCTCTCTTTTAGCCTCAATTATCCTATTACAGGTGCCTAACGGGTACATTGGGTGGGCTTTTAAAAATTAAATGCATAAAGAGAATGAGCTGATATTTGTTCAGTTAATTTGGAAAAAAAGATTACACTCCGGAATACCCATTCAAATAATTAACTATGAGGACTTAGCATGAAATTAAAAAACAAAAAACAAAATCAAAACGATCAAAACTAGAGGTGGTGGATTCTTAGGGTGTTTCGAAAGGGAGACCCTCAGCCACTGTGTCACCCCACCCCTGGGCTGGTACATAAAGGGTGCCTGGGCTCCCACTGCAAGCATCAGAGCGTTTGCCTAGAAAAGGCCAGTATCTGGCAACTCCACAGTTAAGATGCTGGAACCTTCTCACTTCCTTGAGACCGGGGAGAGTGGATCAAACTCGTTACAACTAACATAATAACATAATGCACAAGGACTATTTCCCAGGGGGCGGGGGGATGTAAAAAAATGTCACACTCAATTTACTTTATAAATGATTAATTCTGACAAGAAAGGGTTTTATTTCCCCTCAGAACAATCACCGTCCTCCAACTTTCTGGGTAGCTATTGGTCTGCAGTCGCTAAGATCTACCTTCAGTGGAACTTGAGGAGACGGGAGGCCGTCTTTGCACATTGTCAGGACAGGGAGCTTACCCGTTAGAGCATGGTGTGAATCACCCTGCATTTGTGAGTCTGAATCCTCAACAGAATTAGCAGAGCTCATGACAAGGAGCACCCAGCATCCGCATCTCCAGGTGGACCTGTGGCTTTATCTGAGCAGCCCGGGGTGCAGGACATGAGCTGGGTGGGGCTGTCTGCTCCCCCAGGCAGTGTGGGGGTGGTTCTATTCCTGGAGGCGGGGGCTGAGACCCATCGGTAATGGAAATGATTGGATGGGACAGCCTGCGAGCAGCAGACATGCAGGCGCCCTGGTAGGAAGAGACCCAGGGGCGGCGCTGTGCTCAGAGACAGGTCACCTGTGCAGGAGGACCCCAGGGAGGCTGAAGGAGTGCCTTCCTGCCCCCATTCCTTACACCTGCCCCTTAAAAGGACTGGAGCCAGGAAGGGGAAAAACATTCCAAGCTGTCAAAGCAAGTAAGAGATATATTCCCGTGAAAGCTCAGGTTTAAAAATTCCCAATATTGAAAACACTTTCCCACTCTTTTGTGAATTGGACACTTTGACCTTTTGAGATAATCAGTCAAAATGCCACTGGCTGTCATGAATGATTTTGCAGTATTTTTGAGGAAGAGAAGTACTTTGAAACTGATCAGGGTTGCCTAACAGACAATAAGTCACTATTTTTGAGGAAAAAAACCAAAAAACCATGAACAATGGAATGTGAGTTCCTATTTGTTTTAGCGGGATTTTAAACTTCCCCTGAACACACGTTAATCCCTTTAACAAGTAACAACATTAAAACATTCACTGTTATCAATTTAACATATCGAAGTCCAAGGAATGGCAATTACCAGCCTTTTAATCTGTTACACAAGGTGATCTGAGATACTCAGAGCACAACACGTTTTTAAAAAATACTCATAGTATGTAATCAGGGAGCCAAGAAAAATCTCATTTAACTGCATTAAGATACATGATTACCAAATTGAGTGCTTTAAAAAAAATTGCCTTTTAAACAAAAATTGCATTTCTCATTTCATCTGGCATAAAGAGGAATCTGAACTACTAGTTCTTAGTTAAATAAAAGAAGAATCTGGAAAAACAATGAAATACTTTATATACAGAGGGTGCCAAAAAAAGTATATACCGTTTAAGAAAGGAAAAAGCTATTAAAATTGTTAATACTCAATATATACCAATAACAAGAGATGAATACCAGCCACGTTTGACTTCTGCAATTACAAGAGGTGCTCAAAGTGGTTGCCATCAGCGCCCAGACACTTCTGATGACGGTGAACTACTGCTTGAGCGACGTTGACCAAAATGCCCACTTGTCTACATTTTTTGGGCACCCCCAGTATATTAGAGGCTGGCTGTAAACACAGACTTAAGAATGTTTGTTCTCTTCTGGACCATGATTTTATTCAGTGTACTCTGGTAATTCCTGGTGGAAACTCTAATGTATCATGGTTTCTGGACTGACCTCTTTAAGTTGGAGTCTAAGTGCGCACAACTTGTCTAATGCCACTGTCACAAAGAACGCACTCACGCAAAGGCACAATGCAGGGACAGAACACACTGCCACAGGACCAGGGATTGAGATTTCACTGCAAATACAGCCATAGTCGATATTACAGACACACATTCCTATTTTCACATTGGTCACTTATTAATACTGAACATTACACTTTAACTTTCCCCAGTTACACGGTACAAGAAGCCTGTGAAGGCTTCCAGGAAATACCCATCAGCACCTACTATGCGTCCAGCAGCCAAAGAGAAGCTGGCCGGGGACCAGGAATCCACACTGTCGGAAGAATGGCATCACTGGGTCACACAGAGTCACGGTAGCTATGACCGGGAGCACTGAAAGAAAAGGTCCTTTGCTTGTTTCACAAGGTCCTACGTCAGTCTGGAATGGGAGCTGTGCGCTCACATCCCTGCCATCATCTCAGAGCCGTGACGTTCCCCCATCAGGCTGTGCCACCCTGTGGATTCTGTGGGGGTCCCCTTGCTGTGCCCCCTCATGGCGCATCAGCCCTTGTTCCGCATGCATCGCCTAGCTGAGGACACCTGTTTGCATTTCCTCCCATCAGGGTGACCAAATAGCGAGTCACACGGATGCTGAAACAATCTGGGACACCCCTCCCTGTTCCTCAGCTCAGAGAATTACAGACATAACTTAACATCTGAATTTATTCCTTAGAAAAATTAAATGCGGGCAACTGAAGCAGAAGGTGTGGCTGTAATTAGCAAGTGAAAACTATGGGAGAATTGTCTCTTCAATCCTGCTTCTACGATAATAGTGTTCACACGAGTCGGCTAAACCCTCGATACACAGGACAGGATGCAACCTAATTAATAAAGCCCTAGGACATCTCTTCAAATATATACATGTGTATATATGTATGTATGTGTGCATATACATATCTCATATATGTGTAGCTTATTACTGGTTAAAGTGAGTAAATGCTGTCATTAGGAAAATGAGACATAGATACAGAGGCATGCTGGGGTTAAATTTTAGTCCTTTGTGCTGACTGCATGTTGTGCATTTGCACTCAATCAGAATTAACGTGGATTTTGAGGGCAGATAAATCAGTAATTAACCTTTTTTTCCACAAAGGAGACCAGTGCCTTCAAAAGCTTCACTACAACTAATGATGTAATTTCGTGCAGGGGAGGAAAACAAATATATGTGGAAAATATATCTGCCCAAATGACTTCCTTCTAGAATTTAAAATTTCCTCAAACATTCCGCATAAAACAGGCTACACTTTCCTGTTGACGATAGTTGAGAAAATAGTAGAAGCCGCAGAAAAATTTCTTCGACACTTTCCAAATTTCTGAATAAAAACAAAGATCACATTTGTAGGCAAGGTAAGTTTCTAATTCTGATCTCTGAGACAAAACAAAAATTTCCTAAAACTTATTTCTGTCTTTTTGTATCATTCCACACCACCTAGATTATTATCATTGAACAATAATGTGGATGTCAAAGTTGAATTTTAAAGATACAGTAAATTCCTTTTTTTTTTATAATTACCTTCCACACATTTAAACTCTGTAGCATTTAACTCAAGGTGAAACCTTTTTTTTTTTTTTGAAAGAAGCATAGGCTTCTGTCTAATTCAAAGGTTGTAGCACAAATTTTCAACCAATAAAGTAAAAGTGATGACATTTATGAAATACTGTTAATATAAGGTCAAAAACAGAAGATACATCAATAAATATACTTCACCAAGTTACCAGTCGTCTAAATCTCCTGAGGTTTACTCTCCCTCCCTCGGACCCTCCTGGGCTGGGCTGTTACTTACTGTTTTAGGATCTGTGCTGGAGGGCTTGAAGTTCCTTTGAAAGTACCCTTATGAAAATTTAGAGCATAGCTTATTTTAGCACGGGCTCTCAGATCCAGAAGGACAATTGCGTGCATGGTTATGGACATAGTGCATAGCCTTTATTTCAAAACTTCTGGGGGGAACTTCTGATAATGAAATTTCAAGAGGATATGGTTATTTGCAAACAGCTGCTCTCGCTAGCAATGGTGTTATGCTTCAAAGATGACACCTGCTTCCCTGACAATAAGTCAGACATCATGAGATACAATAAACTTTTGAGCAGTTGGGCGCTCCCAAGAGCGTGCACAAGGCCAGGTGTGCAATGCGAACTGCCTATGTCACCATGCACTAAAGGAACCCCATGACGGAGAGAATGTTGGGTCAACCTCGTGAAAATCGCCAGGCGAAACAGTGCTTTTGAAGGATATGGATTCAGAGGCCAAGACCCCTGGCCCTTCCCCATGGACTCCCGATGAGAGGGTTTTCTGCCATTATCTTCTAATCGCCGGTGACTCCTCACGCCCACGAAGCCTTCACGCGGGAGACCAGGCCGATTGGAAAATAATGACAACCAACCAGTTTACCCAACAGGCTCACTTTACAGTTTCAGAAACATGGTACAGGTTGGTCACCAAATCATGCCATGAATGCAAGGGATGGGGACACATGCCAGGGAGCTGTTCCCCACAATTTTCAAGACGCCTCACCCTCCCAATCACATTCTTTGTCACAATGAGTGAAAACAGGAAGATTATTCCATCTGGAAAGTCACAGATGTCACAGCGGTAGAGAATAATTGCTTCTCTCTCTCTCTCTTTTTCTTGAACAGGGCAGGAGAGCACTCTTTCTGTAACCCACACTGCACAACATTTCAACAGGGTCTCTTTCAAAAGGAAAAGTGAACAAGTTTCCCAGAGTTGGCCTTATAAAAATCTAAGGAGATGGTTACATCCAAACCAGTGATCTCTCGATCTGAGTTATTTCAAATACTGATTTTTGTAAAATGAAGGGGGTGGAAAAAAAAATCCCAGCAGATAATTTGCATTTGCACACGCTGGACTGCAGAACCCACCACCGTTTCCCTAAACATGTAACTCAACTATAGGGGTTGTACCTTCGTAAGGTTCGTAATTCACAGTCACCCTTAGGCAGGTTTTGTTCTTTCCTTTCTCATCATTGCAAATTTTTCAACATTGCTCACCACAAACCACCGAAAATGATCATTTTCATTATTCTCTGCTTATTTTTCCAGGGAGCCAGGTGGTTTGGACGAAGAGTTCCCAGTACCGTTTGAAGAGCTGAGCCTTTAAAAACCTTCAATATCTTAAACACGTGGTTAGAAAAATGATAACGACTTAGAACTACCTAAGCTTATGTGCTTTAGGACGTCTTTTCAAAGGGAGGCTATAAATCAGTGTACATAAAATCAAAATAGTTAATATACATTTTTTTTTCCTGGCACTTTCGAGAAATCAGGCGTTAAACATAAAACATCTTATAAATTTATATAACAAAAATAAATGTTTCCATTTGAATCTCAGATAGATTACCGTAGGGCAGCAGGTAACTTAGGAAGTCCACACTGCTGGTGTGGCCGCCGAGATGTCAGAAACACATACACATCCCCAGTCCACAGCGCCTCAGGGACGGACGCCACGGACGCCGTCCATATGTGTATCCCAGCGTAGAGATTAAGGCTCTCCCTTCTAGAGGAATGAGATCTGGGCTAAAACAAGTATAGAGGGACTACAACATCCGTGGAAAATACTGCAAAGGTTCTGAAGAGTTTCAAATACTGGGGCGGGTGGGCAGCGGCGAGTGGGGGGCAGGTGGGAATGTTTTGATTACAAAAAATAAAAGCATCTAAAAGTGATTGCAGGTACTTTGGGGGGAAGCTGTTGACGTAACATGCCCAAATCAGAAGGCGTGAAAACCTAAGTCACTCCGGGGGACGCCCCAGAAGGCGATCGGTGAGCAAATGGCACCAGCATCTGGGGTTTCTCACCGTCTTAAAACACCTACCTGGCTGGTTAAGCCTTTTGGGAGAATTGCCTTGGAATGAACCGTCAGAATTGGGAAGAGTTCAAGGGGAGAGAGCAGACAGCCTCAGGGGAAGGCAGGAAGGGAGGCCTGGCTCTTCAGAATGGCAGTATTTTAGGCAGGTGGGGCTGTGGTTCTTGGCGGGAGCCGTTCTTCCCCTGCAGTTGGGACCTGTCCCGAGGGTGCGGGGCGTCATGGGGCTGATGTGCTTGGACATGGCCGTGCCCGACAGGCAGGGCACCCTGGGACACAGCCAGGTGCGTCCCTCACTGTCCCCGAGGCTGAGAAATGGTTCCGGCGTCCCCGCTATCCTCAGTTCATGAAAGCAGCATGTCAAGCATAGGAAGTACCGCTCCTGCTCGTCCGCGGAAGAGATGTGCCCCGGCCAGCCGGTCCTCGGCTGTTTGGGGCTGCTAGAGCCTGGTGACATCTCTGCATTGCTGCAAGTCCCCGATGCTCTCGTAGTCATTCTCCTTCGGGCCAGGGTGGCCGTTGGTTTCCAGGGTGGTCTTGTCTTCCTCTCTGTTCAGAGTCTGTATTGCTTCATAGTCAGGCTCCAGCCCCTCCTGGGGCCTCCCCGCCAGGGGAAATGGGATGATGCTGTTGGGAGTTTTCTCCAAGTCCTTAACGGTGGCATAGAGGTCGCTACAGGAGGAGGGGGACCTCTGAGCAGCTCCCGGGCTGGAGGTGCAGCTGGACTCGGGGACTTTCAGCGACTGTCCCCCGGACTGTCCAGGCTTGTGTACATATGAATACATGGCCGAGATCTAGAAAACAAAGGGTGAGTGGAATAAAGATGCTTCGAGCTTGATTTTGCCCTCCCCCTTTTAGTGACAAGATAGACACTCAGCACGATGGGCGTGGGTCCCTTTAAGGTTTCCCCCCCTAGTTTCCCCCACCCCTCGCTTTATTAAGATTTCGTTGACAAACAATATATATGAGTTTAAGGGGCACAACATGATGGTTTGATACACACATATCTTGTGACACAATTACCACAATAAGGTTAGACCTCTAGTACCATATGACCATTGTGTGTGTGTGTGTGTGTGTGTGTGTGTATTACATTGCACATATTATATGATAAATGACCTATGTATATGTACATAAAATCACATTGTCTTCATCCATTCATCCGTTGATGGACACTCAGGTCTTGTGAATAACACTGCAATGAATTGGGGGTGCAGATATCTCTTTGACATAGTGATTTCATCTCTTTCGGATATATGCGAAGAAGTTGGTTCTTTATCTGTCCTAATCCGGGAGAATATTGCTCGAGAACAATTATATACATTCTCTTCAGCTTTGGGAGCAGACCAGTCATATCAGCATAATTGCATGAAAACCCGGTTCTCTCCGGGTCTGCTGAGGGTGTGAGCAGAACAAAAGCCTGGGGTGCGCAGCCCAAGGGGCCCCCAGGACCTGACCACAGTGCCATGCTTCGATTTCTATATCAGAGGGACGTTTCACCTGAAAAAGGGTTCTCGTGCTTTGCAAAAAAGGCAGAAGACATGAATCAGACGAGTGATTCTCAAGATGTGGGCTTCGAATCAGGAGCAGTAAGGCCTGGAAATGTATGGGAAAGGCGAATTCTGAGGCCTGACCCCAGAACCACCAAGTCGGCGCTCTGGATTCGGACGCCCACAAACATGTGCGAACCACGGAACTAGACTGTCTGACCCATTCCTCTGGCCTCAGCGCGCAGAGCTGGAGTTCCTGGATCCTGGCTGGCCGTACACATAGGTTTGCAAGAATATCCTTTTCCATTTAAAAAAAAATTCATTGCATAACTGTGGGTTAAATAAACACTTACAGACAGGGCTAAGCTTTCTTTAGTGGGAAAATTGGTTCTCATTTGCATCCGGCCAACTCCAAAATGAAATCGGAGACAATTCTGGGAATGCTCTTCCCTATAGGAAAAGCAGGCCATTATCCAAGCACCCCTACTCAGCCTCACTAATCCATCCTGTGCCACCTCTAAGACAGAGAGCCATCTAATTTCCATTGGGAAGGATACAGTAGATTTACTGGTTAAGAGATTATTTGGGGGGAGGGGGCTGGTATTACTTTACGGCTAAAGCTATGGCTGGAAATAAGTAAAACATATCCTTCGTCACCTGTACTTATCTTTGCCATAGTGACTGATTTCTCCAAATACCCAGGAAATAAATGAACATACTTCCTGGCAGACGCTTGGCAAGTGTGGAGAGAGATTTTCCAGCTTCCATATTTCTCCAGCTGGCCTCACAAGCGTCTTAAGACCAGCCAGCCTCCTGCTAGCTGGTCATTTGCATGAGGACTTTTCACCACAGGCTAGGGGTGACTCACTGTTGTCAGGCTTTCACAAGCCAAAGCTTTAGAGTCACAGAAATTATCTTCTGGGAAACCCTGGCCGTGTGGCTCTGACCATCCTGAGGCATATTAAATTAACATTCTCACCTCAGAGGTTTTAATGGAAAAACGACTCTCAAAATGAAAAATGATCATTTCTTTGCAGTCAGGAAGAAGAACACAAATTGTCCTCTACTTTTTTGCAGGGAGGGACACACATACGGAACTTTTTATCCAAAAAGCAGTCCACGCCAAATACGTGGGCAGGTTATAAAGGGGTAGCTCAGAGTGGAGCCAGCATAATAGATATTCTATCTCACCCTCAGGCATAATGTCAGGAGGACAAACACACCTTTACCTGGATTGTAATAGCACGAGTCAGCCCCTCACCTCCACTTCTGTTCTCTTCACCTTCCTTCCCCAGGGTCCCTGCCATTAACGCCCCTCCCTGACTCTTTCTAAGTACTTCGGTCTTCTTGGCCTTCAAACTTTTTTTTTTTTAATTATAACCTATTTTAACTTGCAACTTAATATTATCTCTAGGCACGAACCTGACGCACAGAGGGGGTCATTGTAAATTTTAACTGTTGTAAAAACCGTATGAAGCCTTCAAGTCTTCTAATATTCCTTTTGAATATTTGTCTTCTGTGACTATTGCTTCTGCTTTGTATGTGGGTAGCTCTTCAAGCCCCCTTGCGATTTAGCTTTGCAATGGTTCTCTTTAAAACCTTTCGTTTTTATTACTCAGTCTGTAAAGCGCATGTATGTCCTCATAAGTGGTTCTCTTCCTTTCCCCCCGTGTCTCTTTGAATAATCAACCCTTTCCCCATCATTCGGTTAAACTCAGAGCACAGTCCTTAAGACCCAGGCTCACTTTCAGTCTGGACTGTCTAACATGATATTACATGACTAGAAAAATACATGTGGAAATCATTAAGTCTTCTCCCTAAAATGAATACTCGTAGATGTGCATCACAGCTCCTTACTCTACGTTCAAAATGGACAGCATAACTAGGTCTTAGTTTCAAAAGCCACAAATGAATGTAAGAAGGGAATTAAAAAATTCACATGGTCTTGGCTTATTTTCAACAGGATTAGTTTCCGGATCTCTTATAGCTCCTATTTTCTTATGCCCAGTGGGACAGATGCCCCAGGCCCGGGCAGGAGGGCGCTGCCAATCTCGTGAGGGGGGCCACAGGGAGATGGAGACAGGGGTGCAGGAAAGAAACTGCATGGATTTGGCTGCATCTGAGCACGGTGAGGAAAACGGGGTGTCAAGGGTGACCCCCAGGGTTTTGGTTTGTGCAGCGAGGTGACTTAGATGGCAGGTTCCGTCCCTGGGGCGGACCCCTGGAGGGTGGGTTACATCGCCCACGGGAAGCACTCCTGTTCCTTGGCCTTTCCGTGTGGGATTGTAGTGCCTGCATATTTCAATACTCAGGGCCCTCCGTAGGCGGTGACGCACTTGCATATGTACATCGTGTTTGTACATGGACACAGTTTACTGTGCTGGGGGTGCCAGGTAGAAGCTATTTGGAGCCAGCTATATTAAGGCACTCAGCTCTCCGTCTGAGCCTTGCTTGACATACTAACATACATCCTGCCTTCTACAGTTTTAAGGCTTCACTCGAGTTTGACCAGGGCACTTCCAGCCCCAGTATCTGGGAGAACGTACCACCCTTTCTTGTGGGCTGCTGCGCCCGGCCCAGCTCAGCCTGGAAGGGAACGTCCCCAAGTTCCCTGTTCCCTGCCTCCAGCATCCCCCGTGAGAAGTCCCGACCCCCGCCTGCTCCAATTGCCTGCATTTTCCAACCCACGATTAACTTCCTCCTTGTGTGGCCCTCCGGACGGCTGACTGAACTCCCGCGTGTAAATTTCTCTCTTCTCTCCTTCCCTCCCCTTCCTTTCGATTTTTCCTGGTCCTTCCCTACTCAGCTTCCTTTACTTAGCTGGCCTGTCCATACCGTCTTCTTGCCTGACCATCTCCCAGTCCCTCTCTCTGAGCCATTACAAAGCGAATGTCCCCGAACCCTGAGCGCCAGCATGTGCGCTTTTTCAGACACAGGGTCCCATGACGGTGCATGGATTCAAGAGAGATGCCTTATTCTTTCTTACAGGAGCTTTCCGGTTATTTAAAAAGCAACAAGACTCACCTCTTCTTCTGTGAGAGATGGGTCCTCTTCCCGGGACTTGTATGACAGTGAACTAAATCTCTGTAGAAAAACATAAACCGAAGGGAGGACGTCAAGATCCAGCCTTTCTTTTGTGTGTGTTTCGATGCATCTATCTATAGCAACGTTTTCAAATGACTTTTAGGGAAGAAATGATTTTCTACAAAGAAATTATGTGAGGCACTTGAGGAATAAACACACACACACAAATTTATTGTGTGATGGTTTTGGATACCCAGTTGTAGTAGAGAAATTTCTTCTAATTTTGTATTTGAATCTGTAGGTATAAATAAACCAAATAGTTACATAAACCACTGTTTCAATTCCTAATTGTCACGGAAGGATTGATCATCAGTGAAGGATTGATAATAAAAAAACAAACAAAAACATGGCGTATCTTTATCAAATGCCTGAATTTTGTCTACAGTTTGCATGAGCGATCAGGAGATTCTTAAGTCATCTGGAAACTTTTCACAGCTAAAGGAGAAATCGAGTCACATTTCTCAATGATTCTGGCTCCTGGTTCACTAGTTCTCTCTCTAAGGCATCTCCTGTCTAAATTAAATTCTTCCTGATTTCCATAAACATGTATCCTTTCAAACCCAGCCCTTCAGTTCCTCGATCTCCCCCTTCACGGATCTGGTCCTCACTGCTCTAGTCTGCACCCCAGATTTTCTCATACCCTAAACCACAGCTACTCCAGCACCCCAACTCGTTGCAACCCCCTTCAGGCCAGCACTCACCCATCATAATCCAGTTCTAACAATCCTCCAACCCCCTTTTCCAATGTCCGCTTCTCCTTGGTGTGTTTCCTTTGTGCTCTACTGAGCTTACTCTCCAGAGTCAGCATCATAATCACACTGTAAATACTCGACGCCCTGCCTGGTCCCTGGTGACCTCCACCCTCAAGTACAAAAGCTTCGAGTGCTTCAGGCAGTGTAAACTTGACATTCATTTTACTATCTTTGGTTATACACACGGCAAAAAATTAGGCTGCGTGTCTGTATTTTACGACTATATACCTGAACACTTTCATTGGTGCTCTCGACAGCTGATTTCATGGGTGATATAAAAAGCTGAAATGCCTCAGAGACCACGACAAAGAAGGACCTGCGTGCTGTAACCTATATATTCATAGCTAGGGCTCACCTTTTGACAGTGAACTCCAGACGTTTTTCTTAAGGCTTCCCATGACTGACTAACCCCTACTTGGCCTTTCTATCAAAACCTGAGAAGAGAACCTTGCTTTTTGCTGTGTAGAGAATAGAAATTAGGCCGGCCGAGTGGCTCAGTTGGTTTAGAGCTTGCTCAAGAGTACGAGCTCTGAGCAACAGGGTCGCTGGTTCCATTCCCAGCCCGAGCTGAGCTGCTGCTGAGCTGCCAACAGGTGGCAGGATGGCTCAGCTAAAAAAAAAAAAAGAGAGATACTAGAAATTAGATAACAGCTGCCTCAAGAAGACTGAGCCTCATTAAATCCCAAGGAAATAGGGACAACTGGAGACGTGAATGTCAAGCTACTGTGGCTCACGCATCAAGTTATCAGACGTACCCAGAAGGCTCAGGGATTGCAACTGCATTTTAGAGCTTTGCCAAAGAGAAGAGGTACAGGCTGTTGTTTAGAAATTGTCACCAAGTAAAATCTCTTTCTTGATTTATATAAAAGTATATACATAGCCAGACACAGCCATTGGCACCTGCGAGCCGGTTCCCTCTTGTCTGACCTTTGCTTTGACCTCTGGCATCTGGGGAGGCGACAGGCCACCTCGCCACTTGAGGTGGCAGCAAATGGCTTAATAAATGGCCCAGAGTCTAGTCTCTATCTAATTCCCCATCTTCAAAAGTGAGAACAACAACACTCGGCCCCAATCCGACATGATGTGAAGCCTGGAGAATGTCTAGGTAAGGTGCCAAGAGAGGGAGATTTTATAAACATACATTTCCAGTCTTTTACTACCTTCGGGGGCGAGAGGACAAGTCCAACACACCTTACATACACCGAAACCAGCTCTCTTCCTTCACGGAGCCTATGTGTGTATACGCTTCTTGGAAAAATGTGCCCAGAAAAGCCCCAGGAGTAGCCAGGTTCCTGCGGTGACACCCACCTTGTTGGTTTCACTGGTCCCCTCGGGGGCGCCGCCTTCCCCCGCCTTCCTCTCGTCCTGCAGGTTTTCATTCTCATCCAGGAGTTTCACGGGCACGGGCGGCGGGGCCTCCTCGTCCGGCTCCCGTGGCTTTCTAAGGACACTCTGTGTGTTCGCACTTGGCAGAGCCTTCTTGTTTCTGTCCACGGAGGCGTATTCAGCAAAGGTGGCTGTGCCCTCGGCTTGGGGCCCCGGAAGCTCTTTCAAAGCCGGAGTGGACTTGGGCCGGTTGCTGGGGCCCTTGCCCGGGGCCGCGGCTGGGGCCACCTCCTTAATTTCCGTCACGGTCTCATACAGGCAGTCCTCCACGATGTTGTCCTGGGAGGCGCTCTCCTTGAGCACTTCATACGGCCCTTCCATCCCCATCCCGGGGTCCCCGTCCACGCTGGTCGCACTGACCATCGTGTCCACCTCGCTGTCGGGAGGAATTCTCGGCAGCTCCCGGCCCTGAGGACACTTTGGCTTTCCCGTGCTGTCCTGGGAGTCCAGCAGGTCCGACGCCGAGGTCTGCACCTCCTCGTAGGGTTGCGTGCAGGTCACGGTGCTGTCTTCTGAGAGAACTAAAGTGGCAGAGGGTTAAAAAAGGACAAAGGCAATTCCTGAAATAGGCATCACAGTGACTCAGACAGCGCCAAGTTAACGTAAAGCAGCGGTTCTCAACCTGTGGGTCGCGACTCCTTTGGGGGTCGAACGACCCTTTCACAGGGGTCGCCTAAGACCATCGGAAAACAAAAAGATATTTACATTACGATTCATAACA